AACCTGAATCCATCATGTATTCATACATGTCAAAACGATGCACAGTTTGTGATAAAGAACCAATATTTAACCTTTACACAAAGTTATCTGCCAAAGTTTTTTCTACATAAGATATAAATGGCTGCCAGATGTCAAGAAATTTGTTTACAGATCCCCTAACAGTATATCTAATCTTCTCTAAATGAATGTAAGACATAACTTCTCTTAACCAATGACCATATACWGGAGGATGTGGATCCTTCCATCGAAGAAGAATAAGTCTTCTAGCYAGWAGAGAGCAGAAAGCGTAATTTGGGATATTTAGATGCAGATATCTTAACAGATGGGAGTGGTTTTAAATTATGTTTTTACCTATCAGAGATAATTCTTTACTTTCTACATTTGACAGTCTGGTTGACACAGGTGAGAAATTTATGTACACATTTTCACAACACCAAAGTCCTGTCACTATCCTGGTTTGCCTTTATTGGCAAAGAACCCAACAGAATCTCAATTTATCAAAACATCACGTACAAGTTTTAAGACTTCAGTGCTACAGACTAGTTCTGAGTGTAAAGGTTTCTGTTTTAGCTGAAGCTACAGCAGAGTAAAGGATTGTGTGACAAAAGACATGTGCCACTCTCAAGAACATAAAGAAAACCTGAAACTCTGAGTTAATTAAATGAATTAAATGAAAGCAAGGAGCCAACAACAACAATTTCACCACTTTTTTGCTAATGATTATGATCGCTGTAGAATATGTTGCATAGCTGAGAACAACAGTAGTTGTTTTATTTTCATCCCGTGATTCATCTGATGCTGGAAGAGAGGCTTGTTTTGTTGGATAAAGGGTTGGAGGGAAAAASTTGGTTTTGTTAACCGCGAAGGTGGAAAGAAGACATGGACATCAGTTTGCGTGCTCAACAGGACCAGACAAGCTGCTCCTCGAAGCTGTCCATCACGCTAACTTAACAACAGGAGCACAGCAGACCATTTTCAACTAAATGATAAGCAGAAGCTCAAGCTGCTCCTCCGCAGCCACAAACACCCACAAGTGTGGGTCCTCAAGAGAATCTGTTTCCCACCAGTGGGTACAAAAGCTGAAAAACACTAATAAACTGTAATAAATTATGGGCAGCCGGGAATAGATTTTTTATGACTTTTTAAGCTAAAAAATAGCGGTCCGATTATACTTTAATCACATTATACATGCAATAAATACAAAGGGTGTAACTTGGTATTTGGG